CTCTCTCTCTCTCTCTCTCTCTCTCTCTCTCTCTCTCTCTTAGTCCCTTGCACATGGTTGACTGTCCCAATCTGTCTCTCATATATCTCTTCCAACCCGTTGCACAACTCTCTCACACTTACACTGTCGATAGATTATCAAAGATAAGTTTGGAAATATGGAGAGTGAGTAGACCCTTGTGTAACACTATTGTAATAGCGTGAGATTTATACTCTACTACTCTATTTCTCTCTTTCCTTGTTTCCTCTCAATATACCCCTTTCCACCCCAATTCATACAGCCCAGTCTCTCTCTCTTTCTCTTTCCTCCTTTCCATCCCTCTCTCCCTCACCTTGCAGTAGCTAATCCGGGAGCTTAACAGCGGCGCTCGTTTTAGCGGAAATGCTACATCATCGCTGCTTACTTTAGCGAAAATGGAACATTATCACCGCTCACTTTAGCGGAAACGCGACATCATTCCCTCGCACCCAGACGGAAATTTGCCATTGATGCTGCCTTCTTCACCGACCGTAAATCTTATCTTATCTCGTCGTATCTTAGCGGAAGTGCAACTGCAACACCTCGCAACCTGCACACGTTAGGGCATAATAACAGTGCAAATGGATCCATGCAATATAATACATTTATGCTTTATAGTATTATGTCAGTATTATATCTTCGTAATTATTGTGTTGAAGTCTTCCGTCATTTACGTTATTAACACACACACGCGCGCGCACACACACACACACACACACACACACATACACACACACACACGCGCACACACACACACACACACATACACACACACACACTATGGAAATACAATACGACCACAATAAAATAAAATCACCATCACTCTTATGAACTAAAGTGGAAATAGACAGAATCTCCAACCTGTCAAAAACATGTCATTAACTTTCGTGCTATCTAGACACAGCTGAGCCCAGATATTACCTCAATATCGTTATCAACTGAGCTGGAGAAGAAAAAAAAAGGAAGCGGTGATATCTTAGCGAAAAAATGCATCGCCGCCTCAGAGCATCTCAGCGGAAAACCGACAATGGCAATACTCAACTTAGCGGAAATATTACGCAATGTAAAATCGTCTTGGGTTAAGATCCTTTGTCTGGTTGCAGCGGTTCACACTCTACACATACTGGGTGACTCCTGGGGATGGTGGCCGAGAGCAGGGGGAAGGAGGAGGGCTCACAGGAGGAGGAAGAGTAAGAAGAAGGGTTCACAGGAGGAGGAAGAGTAAGAGGGAGGGTTCACAGGAGGAGGAGAAGGAAAGGGGGTCGCAGGAGGAGGAGCAGGAAGGAGGAGGGTTCACAGGAGGAGGAGCAGAAAGAAGGGAGGGTTCACATGAGGAGGAAGAGTAAGAGGGAGGGTTCACAGGAGAAGGAAGGAGGGTCGCAGGAGGAGGAGCAGGAAGGAGGAGGGTTCACAGGAGGAGGAGCAGGAAGAAGGAGAGTTCACAGGAGGAAGAGTAAGAGGGAGGGTTCACAGGAGGAGTAGCAGGAAGAAGGGAGGGTTCACAGGAAGAGGGGGAGGAGGAAGGGAGGGTTCACAGGAGGAGGAGAAGAAAGGAGGAGGGTTCACAGGAGGAGGAGCAGGAAGAAGGAGGATTCACAGGAGGAAGAGTAAGAGGGAAAGTTCACAAGAGGAGGAAGTAGGGTTCACAAAAGGAGGAAGAAGAGGGATGGTTCACAGGAGGAGGAAGAGCAAGAGGGAAAGTTGACAGGAGGAGGAGAAGGAAGAAGGGAGGGCTCACAGGAAATGTTAGGTAGAGAGCGTGAATCCAAGAAACAGTCAAGACCTACCCAAGTATGATCCTTGAGCCCCTGTGAATCATCGTCGTGGGAATAGTGGTAGGTGAGGTGATTTAAGACGTCAAGGTAACATAAGGCCAGAAGTGACTATTATTATTATTATTATTATTATTACGAGTATTATTATTATTAGTCAGTACTCTATCGTTATGCAATTATCACTGTATCTAATTCATAGTATGTTGAATAGTATCATATTTTTCTAACTCTGTAGTACTCAAACAATACAAACTATCCCGGGATAAAAATTTTCTCGGGGTTTAAATAAATTGCGAAAGTTTGTTTAGAAAGAAAACAAACATTTTTCATCCTTGTCCTTCACAATTTGCTTTATGATATACAAACTTATTATGTAAATTTATTCTTCCTGACGTCTATTACACATATTTCCCCATCGCTAAATTCTACCATCGTTTAGCCTCCGTGACAGACATACATTTTAAGTTCAAGGTTTTTGTTACTTTAGATGACTTGAGGAAGATGGTGGGAAAGAGAAAGGACACGTAATTTTATAGAACATCCCGAGGACACGCGGTTATAGAGGACATCCTAAGGACATGCTTATTATTCCCTGCTTTCCCGGATGAGAGACTTTGGAATGCATGCTGTCTGCCTACGTGTCTGTCTTGGGAAGGAAAGGGGAGGGGGTTACTGAATGAGCTACATATCCCCTTGTACTGTATGGGGGGGGGGTGGGGTGGAGGAGAGAGAGAAGACGGGAAAGGAGGAAGAGGGGAGAATAGGGGAAAGGAGGAGGAGGAGGAGGAGGGGAAGAGAAGGGGGAATTTACCTGCTGGTATCTTTGTTCCCGATAGCCCTCAAGAAACACATAGTCAAATAAATACACTGGGAAGACATCAATGAATACATACATACATGCATACATACATACATACATACATACATACATACATAGGTACACATGTTATTCGTTATATTAAGTTATACTCTCCTAAGTCTATTTATATCTAGAGTGTATTAGAATGTACTAGAATATAACATTATAATAGAGTATGTTGGATATGATAGAATATATTTTAGTATAATAGATTGCCTTACAGTATAATGATATATACTTGAGCGTAATTATTCAAGTATAAAGGTGAAAAAAAGTATGCTAGTACATAATGCTGGTTGATTAAAGTATAAGTATTTGTTTAGATATGCTGAACTCATTATTTAAGAACACCTAAGAATCGTATATATAGAGAATTTATACTTTAAAAAATATAATCAAAAGTAATGCTCTAGTATTTTACAAACTTTACGACAGTGTTTGACAGTAATAGCACTCGTTAGTTTTCTAGAACACGTATTGACAAATGTTCGGTCAGGATAACACTTAAGTTTTTTGTTCTTTAAATTTCTAGAGTTTAAAATAGCAAAGTTCATTGTTTTATTTTTCACTTCTAGAGAACAAAACAAACACACATAAACACACACACACACACACACACACACACAATACTATCCATTCAGGTAAATATGTAACCTCGAGGGACCATTATTATAAAAACACATATGACTGCTTCAGTACGGGACCTGAGGAGTTCTTCAAGATAACACTGACGTCACCTGTACTACCTGGTACGTAAACAGTGCAGGATACCAACAACAACAGCTTGGGTGATAAGGAAGTCACCTGGGGGAAGTTTGCGGGCAGACCAAGCTTTAGTAGAGTCAGAGTCGGGGTGGGGAGGAGTTGGGGAGAGTGGGGAAGGGGTGGGGAGGAGTTGGGGAGAGTGGGGAAGGGATGGGGAGACTGAGGAAGGTGGGAGTTGGGAAGGAAGGAAGAGTGAGGAAGGGGTGAGTGAGGAGGAGGGAAGAGTGACGGAGGAATGATTAGGAGGAGAGTGAGGAATGAGGAGGAGGGGAGTGAGAGAGGAATGAGGAGGAGGGGAGAGGAGGAATGAGAGAGAGTGAGAGAGAAATGAGGAGGGGAGAGTGAGAGAGGAATGATGAGGAGGGGAGAGTGAGAGAGGGGTGAGGAAGAGGAGGGAAGAGTGAGGGAGGAATGATTAGGAGGGAAGAGTGAGGGAGGGGTGAGGAGGAGGGAAGAGTAAGAGAGGGGTGAGGAGGAGGGGACAGGTAGGAGGAGAGCCCACTGGAAACAAGTCTGGGTAAAGCTCCAGATAATATACCTTCCCATTATTTATGCTGAACGATCTAAAATAAACAGACTCTATCTTCAACGAGATAAAAACAAATCCTTCGATGCTTCACAAAATACCTAATAACTAATATATATATAAACTTGCACTACAGAGACAACAAAGTCAATACAGTTCTACAAAGTTAACAAATACATAATGAAACAAAATACAGAAAAGGAAAGTAAATAACACCCTATGGACATTCTTCTCTGTCAGACTAAATAAATTTTCTTAATATTCTAAATAAACAAACATTTGTATACTTGTGAGTAAAAATATAGCAACAATGAAAAAAAAATCGCCATAAACAACTGTCGTAAAATACTAAATGATCCATTATACACCACAAAACCGTAAATAAACACCTACACACACGCCGGTACACACACACATACACTCACATACATACAGGGACATACACACACACACATACATGAACATATGTTCTTATGTTCTTATATACACACACACATATATGGACGTACACGCTCACACACATAAACGGATATTCACACATATACACGGACATACAAGGACAAACACTCACATACACGGATATTCACATATTCATACACACACTCACATCTTATACACACACACATGGACACACACACATACACACACAAATATACACACACACAGACAGACACACACACAGGAATAAGTTTCACAAAAGCTATATTTATCCCTGGTAATTAGTGTCAATTTATAAACTCGTAATTTTCCCGATGGAGACTCATTATACAGGACCTGCCAGTTAGACCGACAGACAAAATGATGACAGTAATATACCCTCACTCACCCTGGGCAGGAGATAACGTTGTTGTGGTGATGTGTTGTGTTGTGGTCACCGGAACAACAAACGAACGAACTAAACAACACGCCCCTCTTCCCACCGACTCCACCGCAAATTCTTCATTAACTCTCTAACACATCCTGGCAAAGTTCATTGACATTGTGAAGTAAATACGTAAAGTTTGTGTTGCTGTTTTTGTCTTTGATGGTATATATATATTTTTTTTAATCCTTTTACCTTTATGCATCCATTAACCTTCAGACACGTGAAGGCACAATTTGCTTGGTCACCCTCATTAATGACGTAATGGGGGATAATTATTTGCTTAATTATTGATAATCAACTTGTTTATTGTTTAACCTCTGGTATAGTTCATCCTTCAGAAACTCAACACCGCTGGAATCATAAGAGACGCGTTAAGTATTTTTAGTAGGCATTAAAATAACACTAAGTTTTATAGCTATTGATCTGACCAGGTGTGGAGACTTGATCACAAGGCGTGTGTCTCTTGCCAGCCTCGCCTTCATGTATATAATGTGTGCTGGATATTAGTAATTCTCAGTGAACAGTTAAGAGATTTATTCCGTAGTCTTCAAAGAGAAAGACTCCAGTTCTAAGTTCTAAAACAAACATCATGCATGAACGGGGTTATTCCTTTGACTCCACACATAAGTACATTTCTAAGTTCATTAGTGAAAAGTAAGATGAATTTTTAGGCATTATTCACTTGTATTCACATTCTCCTCTATATTAAGTCGTGTCAAATTACGCACACACACGCAAGCACATACACCCGCTACGGTACACACGCATGCACATCACTCGCGGCCACCTGGCACAGCAGCTGGTACACCCTTCCGCCGCGGTGGTCGCTTCACAACTGTCGACTTGGCGAGGAATTCTCTCCTCTCTGGAAACTCCGGTCACGCATAGTTGCCACTTACGGAATTTTTGTACGATTAAGATCTGAAATTTACACCACCTGTTCATTAGGTTATTTTGTCTTGTTCTTTTTCCAAATAACTTATGCTGTTCTTGAAATAACGAGTAGGGTAAAGATTCAACGATGAAACTACTTCTGAATGCATTTCTTCACCGTAAACTCTATTCTTATTGATATTTGGGAATACATTACCTGTAAGGACAAGCAGGTAATCTATTAAAACACCTAACTCTTCAGGTGTTCTTCGTAATCCAAAAGGTGCATGTGATATGCACGCTGTTAAAACTTGTGTACTGTACAGCTGACCTAGTAAACTCCCTCCCTCACACACGCGCAGACAGGGAGACAAGTAGACAAGCTGACACCCACGCACACCCACACACACACATCTACCCACACACACACATCTACCCACACACACACATCTACCCACACACACACATCTACCCACACACACACATCTATCCACGCTCATCTGCAAGCACATACACACTCACACACACACATAGCCACCCACGCTTATCTATACACACACACACACACACACACACACACACACGCGCGCGCGCGCGCGCGCACACACATCTACCCATGCTCATCCACACACACACACCCGCTGTGGTAAAGACCATTTTCTTGTGGTGTTTCCGTAATCAGTCGTTCCCTATGATCCCAGACCTACTCTAATTTGCCCACCAGTCAGCCGCGGGTACTCTTAATTAAAAACACATCGTCTCCATCTCTGACCACCTCGAAAATTCTATAAAGAAATATATTCGAGTATTTTTGGCCATATAAGTGAGTGATTTGCAGATATATATTATTAGAGCTTAATAGTGAGGAGTATAATTATTGAAATCATTATTATTATTAATAGTATTATAGTAACATGAATAAGCTTATTGGCTTTATTAATGATATTGTTATGGCTATCGTTAATATAATCTTATAAGTGAATGTATGATGGTAATTAGTGTCTGATGTTAAACATGTCATTGCCTTTCACTATGACAGGACGGATATAAACTTTGTGTTTTATCTATGGACTATTTACGTATCTATTCATTATTAGAAACTCCTGAACGTCATAAAAAATATTCCCTCTTAAATAAACTGTTCTCATTAACAAAATATTTATGGAAAGGTAATTAACACCTGGTCACCTGGCGTGTTAATAGGGTATAATAAACACTGTATGATAAAACTTGTATCGTACGTGGTTTTTTGTTTTTGTTTTTTACATCTATATAAGACTGGTAATCGGTATCAAATTGAAGTGAATTATTGTCCTTATACTTACTAACACCTGTAGACCTGACCTTCATGACTTGATAATTATACACGTCCTGAATGTATGATCTAATCTAACATAATTTAACCCAGCATAACCTAACCTAATCTTACCAGAAACTAAGCGAAATCCAACTCTGTAAATTCTTCATCTTACATTAATTATTACTTTTGGGGGAATTACACATTTTAATAACCACTTAAAGATAACTTAAACAATAGTCATAAGTATTGAAACCCCGATTACAAATCATCTTCAAAGAGAACCAACACGAACATCTACACCTGCACCTACACCTGCACCTACACCTGCACCTACTGTACACATAACACACATTCGACAAATTATAATAATATTTGTGTAGTAATCAGTAACACGTCTCTCTCTCTCCCCAACCCTCTTCCTTAACGACCATTATCCGTGGTGTTCTGCTAATTACCAGTTCAATATATTAGTCCTTAATGACTTTAATTTCCACACCCGTCAACTGTGATATATGGAGATTTTTTTTTCTTATTATTTTTGTTAATTTTCCAACTAATTCTTGTTCCCGTTGACCGTTGTGTTCAATGTATCGCTCCAGTCATTAGTCCCACTCAGGTTACTCCCTCACCAACACTATGACTCAACGTTTGTCTTTCATGAATACACCAACACACACAAACACCTTTATCAATTATACCTCGTTGAAGTTAATGAATGAATAGTGCTTCAATAACCCTGTTAGCTCAAGGACCTTAAAAAACAACAACAGTAGATTTTATTCAGTTTCTGGAGGTGATACAAATAGTGTGTTATAGCAGGGGAGGAAATACTGATATACCTGCTTGACATAATTTAATGATATTGTTTATGGTGAAAATCAGAGAGGGGAAAATTTTGTTGTTGTTTTGTTGTTGTTTTCGTTGTTGTTGTTTTTGTTGTTGGTTATAAGTGTCCTATTTATTACTGTGAATAACGTTTACTGTAATTAAATACAAGTTATATATAAATTTATGTTTTGTCGTCTTGTGATTCATTTATCTTGATTATTAATTAGAACACACAGCACCTGTTTCACCCTCAACCGGGTAGATAGATTAGATCCTCCCCTAACGTAATCATACCATTAAGTGCACAATACCCCAACCTAAAATGTAATAACTTCCTTTGATGTATTATTAATCTTATGTGTAATTCAGAAGACTTTTGATTACCTGCGGAAGTTATGTACAATCTTCCTGCGGATAATCGTTGTTTGTGGATAATTGAGGCCAGTGACCTATTGTAGTGGGGAATTAAGAAACCGAAACACAACACAATTAAAAAAAAAACACTATAAGCAGATTATGCGTGTTTCAATGCGCGGCGTTTGGTTGCCCGATCGAAAACGAGAAGCCGAAGTCAAAGCATTTCCATAACATGCGGACAAGTTATAATCGTGATCCTGTCGATGTTCCGTTTAAACTCCTTTACTGAAGCTACTGTAGCTTGTGTCCGTGTTCGATAGCATAGCCTATGAGATAGTAGTTTCATCAGAATTATATATAACTTGTTAGGAAGAGCTGACGGTGTCATAATTATTGGCTTGTGCTCTGTATGTTTTCCTCTTAACTTAAATTAGTTAGTTGTTAGTTAGTGAATACTGTATCGTAATTTGTCCAAGTTTGAGAAATAGTTAGGTTGTAATTGTAAGTTCATATTTTATTACATTTGCCATTTATAATAAAAATCACTATATTTTCAAAGTTGGTGTTAAATTTAAGGGAGTTTGTACTGTACATTATAGGGAGATATAGTTACTAAGGGAAATATAACTAATAAAGAACATATTACTTATGGTGGTTACTACAGTTTAATGAGTTACTTTAATGTAATATATCCCTAAAAGGTAACGTTTAAAGGATTATTATATTTGAGGTATTTACAGGGGTGTAGTTATATTTTAAGGGGGGTTATTATATTTAAGGAAGATATTACACCTGGATTACATTTAAGGTTGGAAATATTAAAAGCTATTACTTTTTTTATAGAAGGGAGTTATGATACTTAAGGATGGGGGTTGTAGCTAAAGGATATTTCGACCACACTAGACGTTGAGACGGATTTAAAGGGTCATCAGCAAGTACTTAGTTCCGAGTATAGTTATAGAATGTCGATAAAGACAATTTTCCCATTGGAGGATCCTATAACTTACTTACTCTCTCTCTCTCTCTCTCTCTCTCTCTCTCTCTCTCTCTCTCTCTCTCTCTCTTTCTCTCACTCTCTCTCAACGACTGCATGTTTCGAGTCTTATAATTACTCTTAATTACATCATTAAACCTTGATTCATATTTTTAGTATAATTTCTAGTTGTAAGGAATTCCCAATGACTCACATCAAGTATAATTTGACCAATTATGTACTATTAAATTTGAGGCTTGGCGTCAGAATGCTGAGTGATAATCTGCAATAATTTGTTGTACAGACACATTGTAATAATTCAGAATAAATAATATTTTCACTTATAATCAATAGATCATTACTTGTAGTGAATAATGGAAGTTAATTATGATGAAGAGTCGATTATGGCAGAGCTTGAGGGAATAGCAGAGGATAATGAGTCATAAAATACAACCCCTTAAGTAATTATTTCCTTTGGTAAACACAATCGCACACAAGCATCCACACCCATATACACGCATATACACAAAAACACCACAATTAAGAGTACAGACTTACATGTACACGACACACATTCACAAAGACTTATATGATGTGAAACTCTTGTATATATTCTTACCACACACACACACACACACACACAACATGTATAGTGGCAGCTTACGTGTTCTGGTGCTGTCTATTGTGCTCGCAGTGTATTAATGCAACACCGTTTCATAACTCAGAGCCACACCAGATGCCTCCTATACACTGCGTGAACCAGGAGATTACAGTAAAAGCATTAAGTAGTTTGTAACGTAAGGCAACCGGATAAACTTGTAAGCTATAGTGTGAGTGAAGGTATTGAGCAGCTCATGAAGTAGTGAATCTACTCCGGATAGGTCATAGTCTCATCTATTCGGCCGGTGATGCTTAGTCTGGTATCAGGACGTGGCGGATGCTCATATCCGGCTTTTATTGTTGAAATAGTAACATGAATATCAAGGCTAAACCGTTTACGTCTTGGAAGTCGTCCAATTAAGGCGGGAGGAAGACGATCAGAGGTCAAGCAGATACACAGTTACTGGAGTGTAACCGACGCAGCTGTTTGTTTGCCCTTCGGCAGTATGGCGGACTTGGTTGCTAAGGAAGTGACGTGAACTTCCTTGTCATCTCCAACTGTACTAACTCACGCACAGAAAAGTGAATAACATTAACTTGCTTTTTTTTTCCGTAATTATTTTCGTAGAGCTTAATAATAACGAACCAGTGGTTACTCTCTGTAGCACCGCGATAGCTCTAACCAGTCTTTGATTATATGGGTAACGTCACAAGGCATAATTATGTTCTAATGTGTAAAGTCAATGAGGTGGATGGCGGATCCCTGTGAGTCATCCACCACATTTCAATTTTTTATTATGTTAGATGGATATAACAGGTTGTAAAATATTATAACCTAGATGAGGAAAGTTAGCTTGGATATATTTCTATGACGACCCATAAGTTGTAGTAC